TAAGAAATGTACTATGTACTATGTACTATCTTCTAAGAAATGTACTATGTACTATGTACTATCTTCTAAGAAATGTACTATGTACTATGTACTATGTACTATCATACTACTATATGATCTGCCGAAGCTGTTTGCTGTGTTTTCTTCTAAGTATGTACTATGTAGTATGTACTATGTAGTATGTACTATGTAGTATGTACTATGTGATCTGCCGAAGCACGTACTAACTTGATGACCACATACATAGTACATACTTAGAAGAAGACGTGAGCGTCAACGATAATGAGTGCAAGAGGACGTCACAAACCCTCACTTGACAGGTGGCCAAATGTAGACAAGTTACCTTGCTCCGTGTCATGCAGTAAAGGCAGAAGGGAGGAGGGAGGAGGGAGGAGGGAGGAGGGAGGAGGAAGAGGGAGGAGGAGGGGAGAAGGGGAGAAGGGAGGAGGAGGAAGGAGGGAGGAGGGAAGAAGGAAGAGGGAGGAGGAGGGGAGAAGGGAGGAGGAGGGAGGACGGAGGAGGGAAGAAGGAAGAGGGAGGAGGAGGGAGGAGGGAGGAGGGAGGAGGGAGGGAGGGAGGAAAACCGATGCAGCAGAGGTTGGGCTGGGAAGCCACAGCTAAGAAGATGTGGAATGAGTGCCGTCTACTAGTGCTACTACAACTGCTAACGTCTTCCCCCGAACACAACGCACCCTCATTTTGGCTGTAAAGGACCGGAAAGATAGCTTGTATACATTCCTTATCAGGGTGCGTTGTGTTCGGGGGAAGACGGTAGCACCACTATTATTACAGAAAATTGTTGTTCTTTCCCTTTCCTGTCCTTTTCTTTACTACTACTGTTACTACTATTGGTGGTGGTCCCCCACCACTATTATTACTACTACTGCTGCTGCTACAACACCTCCGTTTTCCTGGTGGTTGTCCGCCAATCAGCAGTGATGTGCAGGTGGCACTACCAAGTGCGAAGATGAACCTCATGCATGACACATCACGACCAGGCTGGTCTTGCCTGCAACAGAGATGTACCAGTTCTACACTGGCAGAGCTTTCAGAAACAACACCTTTGACCTCTCTCTCTCTCTCTCTCTCTCTCTCTCTCTCTCTCTCTCTCTCTCTCTCTCTCTCTCTCTCTCTCTCTCTCCCTGTGTGTGTGTGTGCTGTATAGCAAGGTACACCTTTTTGGTGTAATCGCTTGATCCCTTGTTTTCCCACCACCCTATACAATGTTATGATCTCTTCAGGTCCTTGCTGGCCTCGTCCTTTCCTGTTTTTTTTTGTTTTTTTTTTCCCTTCTCCAATTCCTTTAAGTTCGCAGTTGGTTCTTCGTACTCTTTTTGTTCTGATTCAAACTGCTTGCTGATGGCCATTACGATATCAGGTCAAGCGTACCACAGAGCGCAGCAACAGCAGCAGCAGCAGCAGCAGCAACGTCAAATTGAATATAAAAGCAGTCTGACGCCGACGCTGACGCTGACGAGGAAGAGGAAGAAGAGCTATTCTCAGCAACAGCAAAAGCGATCTCCTGTCTCAGTCTCAGAGGTGCTTGTAGCCAAAGCAGAAGACTACATGACTAGCGGACTGTTAAACGCAGATTGTTCCGTCTCAACCCGCTTTTCCTAAAAAGGTAAGTAAAGACATATAAGCGACCCTGCCACCATCGTTCCCCCTCCCCCCGGATCATTACAACGTGTGGTCATTAGAGCTGTATTAAGGGCACTTTTCTGCCTAGATACAGCAATAATTACCGTAGTTTCTATTCGGGGGAAAGACTGGTTAATCCTCTCCTTATTATCGTTCCCAATTGAATTTGTTTTATTTTAGTAAATTTAATTTGAATTTGGGGAAAGCGGATGTCCTGGGGCCAAGTCCCACAAGCACTAGCAGCATTGAGTTTTCTGAATCACCCGAATCTGGGCGTGTTTGTGGATATGTGCGGAAAATTGCGTCGAGTTTCCTCAACCGTACCTCTCCACGAAGCCGTCCAGATTCAGGGGTTGAGGAAACTCAACGCTGCTGCTAGTGGGACTAGAGGCCCCTGAAGGGCGCATTTCTTTCAGCAACAAAGTTGCCGAAACTAATGGGAAAAGAAAAAAAGAAAAAAAAAATCATCCTCGCCTCTGTGCCATCATGCCATGTATTTGTGTGAGAACTTGGAAGGTTTTTTTTTTTTTTTTTTTT